ATCTAATCTAATCTAATTGTTATCTAATCTAATCTGATCTAATAGTTATCTAATCTAATCTAATAGTTATCTAATCTAATCTAATAGTAATCTAATCTAATAGTAATCTCATGTAATCTAATAGTAATCTAATAGTAGTCTAATCTAATAGTAATCGAATCCAATAGTAATCAAATCTAATTTCATAGTAATCTAATTTAATAGTAATCTGATGTAATCCAAATAGTAATCTAATTTTAATCTAATCTAATAGTAATCTAATCTAAATGTAATGTAATCTCATCTAGTAGTAATCTAATCTCATAGTAATCTAATCTAATAATAATCTGATCTAATCTAATAGTAATCTAATTTTATAGTAATCTAATCTAATAGTAATCTGATCTAATCTAATAGTAATAAAATCTAATAGTAATCTAATCTAATAATTATATAATCTAATCTAATAGTAATCCAATCTAACAGTAATCTAATCATATTTTATAGTAATCTAATCTAATATTATTCTAATCTAATAGTAATCTGATCGAATCTAATCTAATAGTAATCTAATAGGAATCAAATCTAATAGTTATCTAATCTAATAGTGATCCAATCTAATAGTAATCTAATCTAATAGTAATCTAATCTGATCTAATCTAATAGTATTTTAATCTAATCTAATAGTAATCTCATCTAGTAGTAATCTAATCTCATAGTAATCTAATCTAATAATAATCTGATCTAATCTATTAGTAATCTAATTTTATAGTAATCTAATCTAATAGTAATCTGATCTAATCTAATAGTAATAAAATCTAATAGTAATCTAATCTAATAATTATCTAATCTAATCTAATAGTAATCCAATCTAGTAGTAATATAATCATATTTTATAGTAATCTAATCTAATATTATTCTAATCTAATAGTAATCTGATCGAATCTAATCTAATAGTAATCTAATAGTAATCAAATCTAATAGTTATCTAATCTAATAGTGATCTAATCTAATAGTAATCTAATCTAATAGTAATCTAATCTGATCTAATCTAATAGTATTTTAATCTAATCTAATAGTAATCTAATCTAATAGTAATCTAATCTTATCTAATAGTAATCTAACCTAATAGTAATCGAATCTAATAGTAATCTAATCTAATAGTAATCTAATCTGATCTAATCTAATAGTAGTTTAATCTAATCTAATCTAATAGTAATCTAATCTAATAGTAATCTAATCTTATGTAATCGTAATCCTTCCTAATAGTAATCTAATCTAATAGTAATATTATCTTATCTAATAGTAATCTAATCTGATCTAATCTAATAGTAGTTTAATCTAATTTAATAGTAATCTAATCTGATCTAATCTAATAGTAATTTAATAGTAATCGCATCTAATAGTTATCTAATCTAATAGTGATCTAATCGTATCTAATAGTAATCTGACCTAATCTAATAGTAATCTAATAGTAATCAAATCTAATAGTTATCTAATCTAATAGTGATCTAATCTAATCTAATAGTAATCTAATCTAATAGTAATCTAATAGTAATCTAATCTGAACTAATCTAATAGAATTTTAATCTGATCTAATAGTAATATAATCTAATAGTAATCTAATCTTATCTAATAGTAATATAATCTAATAGTAATCTAATCTGATCTAATCTAATAGTATTTTTAATCTAATCTAATGGTAATCTAATCTAATAGTAATCTAATCTTATCCAATTGTAATCTAACCTAATAGTAATCAAATATAATAATAATCTAATCTAATTGTAATCTAATCTGATCTAATCTAATAGTAGTTTAATCTAATCTAACCTAATAGTAATCTAATCTTATGTAATCGTAGTCCTTCCTAATAGTAATCTAATCTACTAGTAATCTAATCTTATCTAATAGTAATCTAATCTGATCTAATCTAATAGTAGTTTAATCTAATTTAATAGTAATCTAATCTGATCTAATCTAATAGTAATTTAATCTGATCTAATAGTAATCATATCTAATAGTAATCTAATCTAATAGTAGTCTAATCTTATCTAATAGTAATCTAATGTGATCTAATCTAATAGTGGTTTAATCTAATTTAATAATAATCAGTTCTGATCTAATCTAATAGTAATTTAATCTGATCTAATTTTAATCTAATCTAATAGTAATCAAACCTGATCTAATCTAATAGTAGTTCAATCTAATCTAATAGTAATCTAATCTGATCTAATCTAATAGTAGTTTAATCTAATCTAATCTAATAGTAATCTAATCTAATAGTAATCTAATCTTATGTAATCGTAATCCTTCCTAATAGTAATCTAATCTAATAGTAATATAATCTTATCTAATAGTAATCTAATCTGATCTAATCTAATAGTAGTTTAATCTAATTTAATAGTAATCTAATCTGATCTAATCTAATAGTAATTTAATAGTAATCGCATCTAATAGTTATCTAATCTAATAGTGATCTAATCGTATCTAATAGTAATCTGATCTAATCTAATCTAATAGTAATCTAATAGTAATCAAATCTAATAGTTATCTAATCTAATAGTGATCTAATCTAATCTAATAGTAATCTAATCTAATAGTATTCTAATCTAATAGTAATCTAATCTGAACTAATCTAATAGTATTTCAATCTGATCTAATAGTAATATAATCTAATAGTAATCTAATCTTATCTAATAGTAATATAATCTAATAGTAATCTAATCTGATCTAATCTAATAGTATTTTTAATCTAATCTAATGGTAATCTAATCTAATAGTAATCTAATCTTATCCAATTGTAATCTAACCTAATAGTAATCAAATCTAATAATAATCTAATCTAATTGTAATCTAATCTGATCTAATCTAATAGTAGTTTAATCTAATCTAACCTAATAGTAATCTAATCTAATAGTAATCTAATCTTATGTAATCGTAGTCCTTCCTAATAGTAATCTAATCTACTAGTAATCTAATCTTATCTAATAGTAATCTAATCTGATCTAATCTAATAGTAGTTTAATCTAATTTATTAGTAATCTAATCTGATCTAATCTAATAGTAATTTAATCTGATCTAATAGTAATCATATCTAATAGTAATCTAATCTAATAGTAGTCTAATCTTATCTAATAGTAATCTAATCTAATAGTGGTTTAATCTAATTTAATAGTAATCAATTCTGATCTAATCTAATAGTAATTTAATCTGATCTAATTTTAATCTAATCTAATAGTAATCAAACCTGATCTAATCTAATAGTAGTTCAATCTAATCTAATAGTAATCTAATTTAATCTAATAGTGATCTAATCTAATAGTAATCTAATATAATAGTAATCTAATCTTATCTAATCTAATAGTAGTTTAATCTAATCTAATCGTAATCTAATCTATTAGTAATTTAACCTAATAGTAATCTAATCTAATAGTAATCTAATCTAATAGTAATCTAATCTTATCTAATAGTAACCTAATTTAATAGTAATCTAATCTGATCGAATGTAATAGTAGTTTAATCTAATTTAATAGTAATCTCATTTTATTGTAATCTAATCTGATCTAATAGTAATTTAATCTGATCTAATAGTAATCTAATCAAATCTAATATTGATCTAATATGTTCTAATCTAATAGTAATTGAATCTGATCTAATAGTAATCTAATCTAATAGTAATCTAATCTTATCTAATAGTAATCTAACCTAATGGTAATCTAATCTAATAGTAATCTAATCTAATAGTAATCTAATCTGATCTAATCTAATAGTAGTTTAATCTAATCTAATAGTGATCTAATCTAATAGTAATCTAATCTAATAGTAATCTAATCTTATCTAATAGTAATCTAACCTAATAATAATCGAATCTAATAGTAATCTAATCTTATCTAATAGTAATCTAATCTAATAGTAATCTAATCTTATCTAATAGTAATCTAATCTGATCTAATCTAATAGTAATCTAATCTGATTTTATCTAATAGTAATTTAATCTGATCTAATAGTAATCTAATCTGATCTATTCTAGTAGTAGTTCATTCTAATCTAATAGTAATCTAATCTAATAGTAATCAAATCTAATAGTGATCTAATCTGATCTAATAGTAATCAAATCTAATAGTAATCTAATCTAATAGTAATCAAATCTTATCTAATCTAATAGTAGGTAAATCTAATCGTAATCTAATCCAATCTAATAGTGATCTAATCTAATAGTAATCTAATCTAATCTAATAGTAGTTTAACCTAATCTAATAGTAATCTAATCTGATTTTATCTAATAGTAATTTAATCTGATCTAATAGTAATCTAATCTGATCTAATCTAGTAGTAGTTCAATCTAATCTAATAGTAATCTAATCTAATAGTAATCAAATCTAATAGTGATCTAATCTGATCTAATAGTAATCAAATCTAATAGTAATCAAATCTAATAGTAATCAAATCTTATCTAATCTAATAGTAGGTAAATCTAATCTAATCGCAATCTAATCCAATCTAATAGTGATCTAATCTAGTAGTAATCTAATCTAATCTAATCTAATAGTGATCTAATCTAATCTAATAGTAATCTAATCTGATCTAATCTAATAGTAGTTTAATCTAATCTAATAGTAATCTCATTTAATTGGAATCTAATTTTATCTAATAGTAATGTAATCTGATCTAATAGTAATCTAATGTAATCTAATAGTGATCTAATCTGATTTAATCTAATAGTAATTGAATCTGATCTAATAGTAATCTAATCTAATAGTAATCTAATCTAATAGTAGTTCAATCTAATCTAATAGTAATCTAATCTAATAGTGGTTTAATCTGATCTAATCTAATAGTGATATTAAGTTTTAATTTTACAAAGTAAATGTTTATTTATACATCTTTATTGTGTGGGGGGAAATACTTGTGGAATAATTACCATTGCATTGTTCACCTCGTGCACCCCCTTGCAGCAGCTCTTTGGGATCCCAGTCTTAGTCCATATGGGTCATATGACCTCCTGTGTACCTGTCCAGGTGAGTTCGGTGAGGTGTGTCGGGGTCGGCTGAGGATTCCTGGCAGGAAGGAAAACTACGTGGCCATCAAGACTCTGAAGGGCGGCTACACAGAGAAGCAGAGGCGGGACTTCCTGTCGGAGGCGTCCATCATGGGTCAGTTCCAGCACCCGAACATCATCCACCTGGAAGGTGTCATCACCACTTCCTGTCCTGTCATGATCCTCACTGAGTTCATGGAGAACGGAGCTCTTGACAGCTTCTTGAGGGTGAGACAGGAAGAGCCAAAGTAGCATTACCTCTACACCTGTCTGGTTACCAGTCTACAGGTCTGTTTACCTGTCTGTTTACCTTCATCACCACCTGCAGATGAATGATGGACAGTTCACCCCCATCCAGCTGGTGGGGATGCTACGCGGCATAGCCTCGGGGGTGAAGTACCTGTCAGACATGAGCTTTGTCCACAGAGACCTGGCAGCTCGGAACATCCTGGTTAACTCTAACCTGGTCTGTAAGGTGAGACTCACCTGTCTGACTGTAGGACCACCTTGCTTACTTGTTCCTCTGATCCCACTGGTTGTTTGTTCCAGGTGTCAGATTTTGGACTCAGCAGGTTTCTGAGGGAGAACTCTTCGGACCCGACCTACACCAGTTCTCTGGTGAGTCTAAAAGTCCTGCTCAGGTGGACCATGAGGCGTCCTGGGTTACTTGTCTGGATCTAACCTGTTCAGGTGTTGTACAGGCACGGTGGTTCAGGGGTTAAGAGTTCGCTATGTAACCAGGGGGTTGCAGGTTCAAACCCAGGCTACTACAATTGTTGTGTCCTTGGGCTAGACTCTTTACCTGGGGGGGACCAGTGGCTTCTGCCAGTGTGCCCTGGATCAGCTGTGGCTACGAAGTAGCTCATCATCACTACTGTGTGAATGGATGAATGACTGTAGTGTAAAGTGCTTTGGAGTCTTCTGACTCTATACAAGTGCATGTTCTTTATCAGCATTCATCAACAAGAGGGTAGCCTTCCTCCGCCTACATGTGGGGGGAGGGGTCCTGACTGTGGTCTGTGCTTATGCACCAAACTACAGGTCAGACTACCCACCCTTTTGGAGACCTTGGAGGGGTGCTGAAGAGCGCTCCTTCCGGTGACTCCCGTGACTCCCTGGGACTGTTAGACTCTTAGACTGGTGGACTCCTAAGGCTGGTAAACCATGGGACTGTGAATCCCCGGACTGGTGGACCCTTCTTGTGGTGTTCCTCAGGGTTCTGTTCTCAGTCTTGTGTGTATCTGATATTCAGCTCAGATTATTTAAACATAAGCTTCCTGTTATTCTGAACTCTTTCTTGTGCATTTGCTTTGAAAAGCTGCATGTCTTCCTTTGTCCTGGACTTTGTTTGGTCTGTGTTGGGTTCAGCCACACAGACAGCCTGGATGAGTAAACAGATGCTGTCACGTCTTACATTAAGCACTGCGAGGACAGCATTGCTCCAACACGCGCCAGGCTGCGCTTCAATAACGACAAACCACGGTTCACAGCTAAACTCTGCTTCGTTTTGCTTTTATTATCTATTTATTCATTGTAATTTACATTTCTTATGTACTGTGTACAGCGCCTTGGGCTCCCTGACAGGGTCGTGGAAGGTGCTTTATAAATAAAGCTTTGAATTGAACTGAATTGAATTTAATTGAATTGAACTTAGCCAGCTCAGGATGGAGAAAGAAACATTCATGCATTCAAAAACAAAGAGAGAGAGCTACAAAAGGCTAAATAAAGGTTTAGCAGGGAGGCGACAGAAGCTAAAGCTAGGTTCTCTGAGAGGCTGAAAGAACAGTTCTCAGCTCACGACTCAGGCTCTGTTTGGAGGGGGCTTAAGCAAATAACCAACTACAAGCTAAAAACCCCTCAGTCAACAGAGGACCTGCAGTTAGCAAACACACTCAATGAGTTCTACTGCCGCTTTGATGGCCCACCAACCCACCAGGACATCACCCATCAGCTACATCTCCATAAAAAGGTCATTCACACCTCCCCGCTCCCAGAAGTCTCCTCACAAACGTTTATCCCCCCAGACTGATTTCCTCCACCCCGAGACACTGTGCAGAGGATCTTCAACACCTCTGGACTCGTGCCATGTTCCAACTTGCTTCAAATCCTCCAGTACTATCCCAGTCCCTAAAGGACTAAATGACTACAGGCTGGTGGTGCTGTCATCAGTGGCCATGAAGTCAATTCAATTCAATTCAATTCAAAAATACTTTATTAATCCCAGAGGGAAATTGATTGCTGTAGTAGCTCAGAATAATAATAATAATCAAGTCGTCAAAGAGGTGTTGTATATTACAATGGCTGTTGGCAGGAAGGATCTCCAGTAGCGGTCAGTGTTGCAGCCAAACTGAAGAAGCCTCTGACTGAAGACACTCTTCCGTTGTCGGACAGTCTTGTGAAGAGAATGCTCAGGGTTGTCCATCATTTTCTTGATTCTCTGGAGAATCCTTCTTAGCATTATCTCCTCCAGTGGTTCCGAAACTGCCGAAACTCTGGCTGAGTCCTCGAAAGGGCTTGGAGTTCCTCCATCTTGTTGGCCAGTGATCTCACATTGCCCATTATGATCGATGGAAGAGATGTTTGAATTTCCTCTTTCTCTGTCTCCGTTTTGCTCCCGCTCTGCACCCACGCTTCTTGCATTTTAGCTCCTTTGGGATTTGTGGCTTCAGTTGAGGTATTATTTCAGCCTTTCTCATGTTAATTAGCTGCTCCCGATTGTAAACAGCTTGTTGCCATGGTTACGCATCATAACAAATGCTCAAAAAGTGAGAAAAGCTAAAAAATAGCAGTAAAAATCCTCCAAGCTTCACAGCACCAGAAACAGAAAAGTAAAGTGTCCAAAAAAATACGGTTTTTCTTGAGAAACTAGAAGAAAAAATGTCCAAGAAAAGGCTAAACTTACAGGTGCTGGCCAGTAAATTAGAATATCATCAAAAGGTTGAAAATATTTCAGTAATTCCATTCAAAACGTGAAACTTGTACATTATATTCATGCAATGCACACAGACCAATGTATTTCCGATGTTTATTACGTTTAATTTTGATATTTATAGGTGACAACCAATGAAAACATCAAATCTGGTATCTCAGAAAATTAGAATATTCTAAAGGCCAATGAAAAAATGTTTGTTTCTCTAATGTTGGCCAACTGAAAAGAATGAACATGAAAAGAATGTGCATGTATAGCACTCAATACTTAGTCGGGGCTCCTTTTGCCTCAATAACTGCAGTAATGCGGCGTGGCATGGACTCGATCAGTCTGTGGCACTGCTCAGGTGTTATGAGAGCCCAGGTTGCTCTGATAGTCGTCTTCAGCTCCTCTGCATTGTTGGGTCTAGCGTATTGCATCCTCCGCTTCACAATACCCCATAGATTTTCTATGGGGTTAAGGTCAGGCGAGTTTGCTGGCCAATCAAGGACAGGGATACCATGGTCCTTGAACCAGGTGCTGGTGGTTTTGGCACTGTGTGCAGGTGCCAAGTCCTGTTGAAAGGTGAAGTCTGCATCCCCATAAAGTTGGTCAGCAGCAGGAAGCATGAAGTGCTCTAAAACTTCCTGGTAGACGGCTGCATTGACCCTGGACCTCAGGAAACAGAGTGGGCCAACACCGGCAGATGACATGGCACCCCACACCATCACTGACGGTGGAAACTTTACACTGGACGTCATGCAACGTGGATTCTGTGCTTCTCCGCTCTTCCTCCAGACTCTGGGTCCTTGATTTCCAAAGGAAATGCAGAACTTGCTTTCATCAGAAAACATAACTTTGGACCACTCAGCATCAGTCCAGTCCTTTTTGTCCTTGGCCCAGGCGAGACGCTTCTTGCGCTGTTTCATGTTCAAGAGTGGCTTGACACACGGAATGCGACACCTGAATCCCATGTCTTTCATGAGTCTCCTCGTGGTGGTTCTTGAAGCGCTGACTCCAGCTGCAGTCCACTCTTTGTGGATCTCCCCCACATTTTTGAATGGGTTTGTCGTCACAATTCTCTGCAGGGTGCGGTTATCCCTAGAGCTTGTACACTTTTTTCTACCACATTTTTTCCGTCCCTTCGCCTGTCTGTTAATGTGCTTGGACACAGAGCTCTGCGAACAGCCAGCTTCTTTAGCAATCACCTTTTGTGTCTTGCCCTCCTTGTGCAAGGTGTCAATGATTGTCTTTTGGACAGCTGTTAAGTCAGAAGTCTTCCCCATGATTGTGGTGCCTTCAAAACAAGACTGAGGGACCTTTTAAAGGCCTTTGCAGGTGTTTTGAGTAAATCAGCTGATTAGAGTGGCAGCAGGTGTCTTCTATATTCAGCCTTTTCAGAATATTCTAATTTTTTGAGATACCAAATTTGGAGTTTTCATTAGTTGTCACTTATGAATATCAAATTTAAATGTAATGAACATTGGAAATACATTGGTCTGTGTGCATTGCATGAATATAATGTACAAGTTTCACGTTTTGAATGGAATTACTGAAATATTTTCAACCTTTTGATGATATTCTAATTTACTGGCCAGCACCTGTACATATAGTCAACAGAGCTACTCCAGCATGCAGCCGCCCAGAGCAGCGCAGTTCCTTTGAGCGCCTGGTCTTGAACCACCTCGAAAAAATCACAACCCTTCTTCTGGACCCCTGCAGTTTGCCTACAGCACCAACAGATCTGTAGATGATGCAATCAGTCTTGCCCTCCACTTCGTCCTGCAACATCTGGACTCCCCAGGAACCTACGCAAGGATGCTGTTCGTAGACTTCAGCTCAGCATTTAACACAGTCTGCCCAGCTCTCGTTCAGGACAAGCGACCCATGCTACCGTACCCGACCCCATCTGCCGGTGGATCACAGACTTGCTGACAGCACGTGAGGCTGGGACAAAATGTCTCAGACACCCGAACCACCAACACTGGAACCCCCTAGGACTGCGTCCTCTCTCCTCACCTCTGTCAGTGTGCCCCAGGGCCGCTGTGGCTACATCGTAGCTCATCACCGTCAGTGTGTGAATGTGTGTGAATGGATGAATGATACACTGTAGTGTAAAACGCTATACAAGTGCGGCTCATTTATCCTTTACCCTCTACTCTTCTTGCTCTACACCAGTGGTTCCCAAACTTATTTAGCCGTGCACCCTCTTCTATGTCCCGACCATGTTGACGCCCCCCCCCCCCCCCCCCCCAGCCCCCACATCAGGGCATGGCTCTATATATATATATCTCAGATGTCAAGCTAAACAGACAGGGTTAAAAAAATTCCCCATCACTTTCATTTTTTAAATAGTAATTAATAAACATTCGATACCATTACAATTTCCTTTGATTTAATATTAAATAAATATTTAGAGTGCCCAGGTAGCACATAAACAATGCAATTTAACGGTTTTCTTAAAGTAGGAACGTTTAACCTGTGCGGCCAGAGCGCTCTCCTTCCTTCTGCTCTGCGTAAGCCTGAGCTGGTCACCTACTTGTGCGTAATCAAATGTCTATAGGGGACAAGATATAGCCATGAGGTTCACTTTTACCTCAGACCCACTTATTGCTGTTTTATGGTGAGGCTGAATCTGCGATCCGCTGCCACGCGGACTGGAATAACAAATGCTGCAGTAACATGAGATGTGGTCAGGTTCATGAGGAGTCACTGGCTGGAGCGGACCCGACTCATCCCAGAAGCTAATATCTTAATTTGACCTTGAATGAAAAATAACCTCTTAAAAGTTTTTATCACGGTGGAGGCAGCGTTCATTTCTGCCTTCAGTCTGACGGCGCGCCGGACTTAAAGCAGCGTGTGCGCTTATTGAATCTGTGTGTGGGTGCGCGCGCGGCACAGCCGCTCCAGTCACCGCGTCTCGCGCTATTTAAACCAATGTTGTAAAATAACTTCTGCCCAGCCCAGATGTGCTCACTTGTGCACCCGTGAGCCGTGGTTCAGCCGGAACGCGTCTGACTTCTGACAGACGCACTCTGAACTTCAGATCTTCAGCGCGCTGTTAATAGCCTGAATGGGAATCATTTCTTGTTATTTAGTTACATCCACAATGTTCTGTGTGTGAGGTTTACAATGTCAGAACACCTGCATGAGACAGGTGTTAATTACAATCTGCCAGAATGACTCACCACCTTCAGATTCCTCCAACACCGTTAAAAATGATCAAATACGGAACATATCGGCGTGCGCAGGCCAGAGTGCTGAAGCTCGGCGCATTGTTATTATGAAGCTAGGGCACATGTGGAGGACACGCGCGCGCAAAAATATACTTGTTTTCTATTACATTTATTGGGCCCACTTACATTTTCTTTGGCCCACCCACAAATGAGTTTCTACGCTAATGGTGACATATGAGCTCCGCAGCCATTACACTTTTCACCTCGCGCACCCCCTAGCGGCAGCTCGCGCACCCCCTAGCGGCAGCTCGCGCACCCCCTAGCGGCAGCTCGCGCACCCCCTAGCGGCAGCTCGCGCACCCCCTAGCGGCAGCTCGCGCACCCCCTAGCGGCAGCTCGCGCACCCCTAGCGGCAGCTCGCGCACCCCCTAGCGGCAGCTCGCGCACCCCTAGCGGCAGCTCGCGCACCCCCTAGCGGCAGCTCGCGCATCCCCTAGCGGCAGCTCGCGCACCCCTAGCGGCAGCTCGCGCATCCCCTAGCGGCAGCTCGCGCACCCCCTAGCGGCAGCTCGCGCACCCCTAGCGGCAGCTCGCGCACCCCCTAGCGGCAGCTCGCGCATCCCCTAGCGGCAGCTCGCGCACCCCCAGGGGTGCGCGCACTACACTTTGGGAATCCCTGCTCTACACCAACAGCTGCACCTGAAACCACCAGACGGTGAAACTGGACTCCCAGCATCCCGTTAGGCCTCTGGTCTGATGGTTTTAACTGATGTGCCTGGCTTTTAGTCCTTGTTTGCATGTAGTTAGTAAAACTAAGAATTTATCTATGATTGTGTTGTTTTGGTACTTAACATGAATTCATGTGTAGTACTTTTTACTCCTCATGATGTATCTTTTAGTATTTTAATGCTTGTTAATTTTTCACTGCTGTGTTCAGCACAACTCCAGAACTCCAGAGTTCTGAAAGGTGCAGGTCGGATAACAGCTGACCCCCCTCAGCCTGGTCATGGTCTGCTTGAAACCCTAGCTTCAGGGAGGAGGTTGGGGTCCTTACAGACTAGAACCTCAGCACAAAAACAGCTTCTCCCGTCCGCTGTAAGGCTCCTGAATGAATGGCCACAGCGATGCCCGGTCACCCTCATGCCTACGCTCATGTTTCTATCCTGATGTAAACACTGCCTGACCTGACCTTGACCTGAATGTATGTTTGCAGCGTGTCGCCCAAACACATTCCTAGTAGATGAGCCTCTTGCCTACATGGCAAAAAGTCTGATTCTGATTCTGTGACAGGGAGGGAAGATCCCGATCCGGTGGACGGCTCCTGAAGCTATTGCCTACAGGTGAGCTGATGCTGCAGGTGAACACCTCCTCGTGTCAGGATTTCATTTTGTTAACGTCTTCTCTGACTACAGGAAGTTCACGTCAGCCAGTGACGTGTGGAGTTACGGCATTGTCATGTGGGAGGTGATGTCATATGGAGAGCGGCCGTACTGGGACATGAGCAACCAGGATGTAAGCACCATCTGCTCTGTAGCCTGGACTGGACCAGAACCATTGCAGACCACCACAGCTCTGACCCTCTTGTGGTTTTAGGTTATCAATGCCATCGAGCAGGACTATCGGCTGCCGCCGCCGCCTGACTGCCCCGCCCCTCTGCACTCGCTCATGTTGGACTGCTGGCAGAAGGATCGGGCCGACCGGCCCCGGTTCTGTGACATCGTGGCCGCGCTTGATAGGATGATCAGAAACCCTGTCTCTTTGAAAGTGACACACCCAGAGTTGCCGAGGTAAGCTGGGTCAGATCGGGGTCTGGGGAACGTGGTCAGGGTTAAAGGTCAGACAGAGTCATGTGGGACGGCCAGCTGTAATACGGGTTAATTTGTTCACACCAGCCGGTCCAGAACCTATGTGGTTCTGAGCTCCTGACAGGGATCAGCTGTGTCATGTTGACTATGCTACAGCTCCTGACTGAGATCTTTGACCTTTGTGTGTCCTAGTCCGTCCCAGCCGTTGTTGGACCAGAGGGTCCCCCCTCGTCTGTCTGCCTGTGGTTCTGTCTCAGAGTGGCTCCGAGCCATTAAGATGGACCGGTACGAGCAGAACTTTCTACAGGCCGGGTTCTCCAGCCTGGATGCCGTCTCACAGCTCAACACAGAGTAAGACTCAGCTGTTTCTGTCTCACCTGTCTGTGACTCACCTGTTTCTATCTCACCTGTACCTCACTCACCTGTTTCTGTCCCACATGTTTCATACTCACCTGTCTCTGTCTCACCTGTCTGTGACTCACCTGTTTCTATCTCACCTGTACCACACTCACCTGTTTCTGTCCCACATGTTTCATACTCACCTGTTTCTGTCTCACCTGTCCCCTACTCACCTGTTTCTGTCTCACCTGTCCCCTACTCACCTGTTTCTGTGTCACCTGTCCCATACTCACCTGTTTCTGTGTCACCTGTCCCATACTCACCTGTTTCTGTCTCACCTGTCCCCTACTCACCTGTTTCTGTCTCACCTGTCCCCTACTCACCTGTTTCTGTCTCACCTGTCCCATACTCACCTGTTTCTGTCTCACCTGTCCCATACTCACCTGTTTCTGTCTCACCTGTCCCATACTCACCTGTTTCTGTCTCACCTGTCCCCTACTCACCTGTTTCTGTCTCACCTGTCCCCTACTCACCTGTTTCTGTCTCACCTGTCCCATACTCACCTGTTTCTGTCTCACCTGTCCCATACTCACCTGTTTCTGTCTCACCTGTCCCATACTCACCTGTTTCTGTCTCACCTGTCCCATACTCACCTGTTTCTGTCTCACCTGTCCCCTACTCACCTGTTTCTGTCTCACCTGTCCCATACTCACCTGTTTCTGTCTCACCTGTCCCATACTCACCTGTTTCTGTCTCACCTGTCCCATACTCACCTGTTTCTGTCTCACCTGTCCCATACTCACCTGTTTCTGTCTCACCTGTCCCACAATCACCTGCTTCTGACTCACCTGTCCCAGACTCACCTGTTTCATACTCACCTGTTTCTATCTCACCTGTCCCATGCTCACCTGTTTCATACTCACCTGTTTCTGTCTCACCTGTCCCATGCTCACCTGTTTCATACTCACCTGTCTCTCACTCACCTGTTCCGGGTTCACCTATCTCTCACTCACCTGTCTGTGACTCACCTGTTTCTGTCTCATCCGTTTCTTTCTCACCTGTCCCATGCTCACCTGTTTCATACTCACCTGTTCCGGGTTCACCTATCTCTCACTCACCTGTCTGTGATTCACCTGTTTCTGTCTCGTTTCTTTCTCAGTTGTCCCAGACTCACCTGTTTCTGTCTCACCTGTCCCATGCTCACCTGTTTCATACTCACCTGTCCCATGCTCACCTGTTTCATACTCACCTGTCTCTGACTCACCTGTCCCAGACTCACCTGTTTCTGACTCACCTGCCCCAGACTCACCTGTTTCTGTCTCACCATCCCAGACTCACCTGTTTCTGTCTCCAGAGACCTTCTCAGAGTGGGCGTGACCCTCGCTGGTCACCAGAAGAAAATCCTCTCCTCCATCCAGACACTCAGGATACAGAAGGACACGCCCACCCTGCTTTACTGACCAATCACAGTCTTTTCCTGTGCTAATGGCCAAACCTCTCAGGATCATGCTAGTCCCGCCCACTATTTCAGATCAAACAGATGAACAGAGACTCCGCATCCTAATGTTGGACTAGAGCTCAGAGTTTTTGACTCAGCCACCAAGGACTGGAGACATGATCATGTGTGTAGATGTGGATCTGGTCTCCAGCTGACCAGAATCGACTCTCTCTGTTACACTCGTCCGAATCCTGGGACCTGGACCTGTCTCCTGATGGGGGAGCAGACCCGGGACAGTTTTTATCTCAGAATCTTCTCAGCAACATTTTATATTTCTGCACAATCCTTTTGTATGAAAACAATAAAGCTGATGTTATGGAACAAACATCTCTGTGGTTCTGTTTGGGTTTGGGTCTGGTTCTTCTGATTCTCTAGCAGAAAGCAGAACCTCCTGAAACCGCATTTGGAACATCCAGCATTTCCTGGCTCGGTTCTGTCCTGCAGCCCAAAGCTCGATGGGACAGGAGAGAAGAGTCAAAGGTCACATGGACCTTGGGTCTCCATGTTCTGGTCCTACAGGACCTCATCACAGACTCCTACTTTCATCTGACCAACAATCTGCACACTGAAGTCAAAGTTTGTCTAAATAACACCCACTGAGGCCAAAGGTCATCTAAATTTAAGGTTGCTGTAATCAAACCTTCACTTAAGAAGCCTTCTCTGGATCCAGATGACCCAATGAATTACAGACCAATATCTAACCTTCCATTTTTATCCAAAGTCCTGGAGAAAATAGTGGCCATCCAAGTCTGTGAGCATTTAAACACTGATGATCTGTTTGAGGAATTTCATTCTGGTTTTAGAGAGTATCACAGCACTGAAACTGCATTAGTGAGAGTTACAAATGATATTCTCATGGCCTCAGATAAGAATCTTGTGTCTGTTCTAGTCTTGTTAGATCTCAGTGCTGCCTTTGACACAGTTGATCACAATGTTCTTTTAGAAAGACTTGAACATGTTGTAGGGATCAAAGGAACAGCGCTAGGCTGGTTTAAATCCTACCTGTCTGACAGATTTCATTTTGTAAATGTACATGACAAATCTTCTTCATACTCCAGGGTTACTTGCGGAGTACCACAGGGTTCAGTGCTTGGACCAATTCTTTTTACTATATATATGCTCCCAATTGGTCAAATCATTAGACAGCATGGGATAAACTTCCACTGTTATGCTGACGATACTCAGTTATATTTATCCATTAACCCTGATGAACCTAATCGGTTGGGTAGATTACAGGCTTGTCTTGAGGACATAAAAAATTGGATGACTCTAAACTTTTTGCTTTTAAATCAAGACAAGATGGAAGTTCTCATCTTTGGACCAGAAATCCAGAAAAGGAAATTACTTAGCCAATCGCCTGACCTGAATGGCATTACATTAATCTCCGAGAACAAAGTAAGGAACCTTGGTGTTATCTTTGACCAGGACATGTCATTCAAATCCCAGGTTTCACAAGTTTGTAGGATTTCCTTTTTCCACCTTCGGAATATTGCTAAGATTAGAAGCATCCTTTCCAGGAGTGATGCTGAAAAACTAGTTCATGCATTTATTACATCAAGACTGGATTACTGTAATCCATTACTCTCAGGAAGTCCACAGAATGTAGTTAAAAGTCTTCAGCTTGTCCAAAATGCTGCAGCTAGAGTTCTGATGAGAATTAAAAAGAGAGATCATATCTCTCCTGTCTTAGCTTCCCAACATTGGCTACCTGTTAAATTCAGAATAGATTTTAAGATCCTTCTTCTCACATATAAAGCTCTTAATAATCAAGCTCCATCATACATCAGTGATCTGATTGTTCCATACGTTCCTAACCGAGCACTTCGCTCTCAGACTGCAGGTCTACTGGTGGTTCCCAGAATATCTAAACTTAGGATGGGAGGCAGATCTTTTAGTTATCAGGCTCCTCTCCTGTGGAACCAGCTCCCAGCTTTAGTCCGTGAGACAGACACCTTGTCTACTTTTAAGAATAGGCTTAAAACATTTTTATTTGATAGGGCCTATGGTTAAAATCTGATGTTAGCCTAAATCTGGACAAGTGGGGGAGTAGAGGGAGGTGGAGTGTACAGTCGGTAAAGACGGCTCTCCCTTGCCCTGACTCCAACATGCCTCCATCTAAATAGGATAGATTATCCAGAGTTAACTCTGTAGTTATGCTGCTATAGGCTTAGACTGCTGGAGGACACACTGACCACTTTCCACACTCTACTGCTTTCTTCTACAATCTGCTCTTTAACTGTATTATTTCCTGCTATTTCAGCTGTTAACTTTATTTTCTCTCTAAGTGTTTTTCTCCCCAGAAGAAGCTACAACGATGTTCTGCTGAGCTGTGGTGGCCTCATGGAGGGGGCCATCGTCTAGCACACTGCTGCTAACCACTAAAACATTCTCCCTCTCCTGATAATAACTTTTTGCTTTCCTTGACGTTGGATGTGCTACTACTAGTTTACCCGTTTAATTATAGATCCACTAGGATAAATACAATAAAGTTTATCTCTCACCAAATAGAATATTTACTAAGACATCACAATATAACTATAGACACATTGCTTTGTGTGTGTGTGTGTGTGTGTGTGTGTGTGTGTGTGTGTGTGTGTGTGTGTGTGTGTGTGTGTGTGTGTGTGTGTGTGTGTGTGTGTGTGTGTGTGTTCTTTGAGTAAAATTTACATTTGTGTGATGAACTGAAACATTTAAGATTGACAAACATGTAAAACCAAACATGAGACCACTTTGACTAAATTAAGGGGGCTTTTGAAAATGTAAAATTAGTTCACAATTCTGATTTCACTTATATCAAGTTGGTACTGCAAGTGTAGAAATCTATTTTAACAATGTGTATTTTTAAAAATTTTGTATTCTAAATGTTGATAAATTTTGGTTGCACTTACTGTATAAAGTCTTTGAGTTTTGTGTGACAGGATCTTTAACAGTTAGAGAGAAAATAAGCATATTAAGCAACACAGGAAATAATGGAAAACACAACAACAAAGAATATGTTTCCCAAACCTTATTAGGTTAGTGATACCTAAGCTCACAGCTGAAGTACTGCAACTAATGGTCACTTCCAAAGTGTTTTTGATGTTTGCTACCTTCAGCTACTTGATAAATGTGTATATTTTGTCCTTATATCCTTGTTAAAATGTTTGTTTCTGAGCGTCAGGCAACTGTAAAAGGTAAGTGAGCTACAATATATACTGCTTTTCTGTCTTTTTCCCTATTCACAAACAAATGGGTGCATAACTGTCTAAGTTCAGTGTTTTGCCCAAAAACATTTGAACAAGATAAGAGGGGTTTGGGACTGCCAGCCCAGAGGGAAACATTTCCTTATATGGGATAATTTACATTAAGCCCAGAAGTATACATTAAAAAATACCCACAACAATTTTCAGTTTTAGGTACAACTGCATTAGTAGAGAGACTGAGGGGAAATGATCTGTCCTCACCACTGCTCTTGGAGGAGGTTGACTTCAGCTCCTTCATTAGATGCTGTTGCAGCTCTATGTTCAGCTCTCGGAGTTTTATTTTCAGACTCCATTGTTGAAAGACTCTTTTCTTGCTCCTGCATTCTTAAACAGAAGAAAATATGTAATGACTATATTATTAGGAAATGATAAAAAAATAAAATGGTTAATTACTCTCTGTGAAATTATCTAGCTGCCTATAGTGGAGATGGGTAGTGCTGCACATGTGCACAGCATTCAGAAAGGCCAAATGTGGACAGCATGTGGTAGATGTGTGACAAAAACAAGTAGCAAAATATTATATTACCAAATATATCCATTTAAAAGTATAAACACACCTTTGGAATATAAAGATTTAATGGCTCAATAATTAAAAACATATTTTTGATCAAAGTACCCAGCCTATTTCAACAGGACCAAATAATGCTATTGCTATTCACAATATTCTACACACCCATCTACTTTTGGCAAGGACAATAACAAGACTGAATCCAGCTAGAGCTTAAAGGTAGATTTACAGAATATTGTTAGGACACATTAATACAAAATTATTTTTCAAGGCTATTCAAAACTTACCTTTTTTCCATTTCCTGCTGCTGTAGACACATGCAACTATACTTTTTCTGATACAAGCGTTGTTTTTTATTGCCTCCTCATAAAGTTTCTGTGGGACAACACCAGCATCATTATCGTCATCCTCAGTATCATCTTCAAAGAGGGACTCGCTGAGGATATCTTCTCTGATTGTTTTGGTACTGGTAGGGCAGAGTGGAGAGTTCCTCTTTCTGTTTTTTCTTTCCTGCAGAATGGCCAGTAGGTTAACATCGTTTGCTTCCTCTGCGGCTTTTTTCTGAGTTGTCTGTAAACATTAAAAAAGCACAACTTAAAATTACAGTAGGACTTTCATAAGATTTAAAGTTAGCAAACTCACATACTAACAAACTAAGCAATGCTACACAAAGCAAGCGCAACATTACTGGAACTAATTTTTAACCTGATGTCATGGCCTGATGTTGGCTTTATTCCCTCCAGTAACAACACACTTTTGGACACAGATCTGCTCAGAAAGGACTGAGTTTGCATATTCTTGTAAATGACATTTGTAGCTTACACTGACAAAACAACTTTCTCTTGCTGATTCCTTATTAATGCGTTTTTTGTTGTGATGTTTTTATTTCATTGAAATAGACCATGTCTTCCCAAAATAGCTGATAAGTGACTTCTTTGTCTAGACCCACATTACATGTATTCGTTTTGTGTTGTTAACATCGAATTTGCTCAGACGACTTCTTCTCTTTCTTAATATTAGTGCCATAACTTTGTTTAGTCATTTTGTGTTTATTTTCTAACCTTATTCTCCATTTAAGAGTCTACACTGAGCTACTTTAAAAAACACATTAACTATAACATTTTTTAACTTGTGAACATTAAAATTCTAATTAGACCAAAAAAGACCAATGATTAATTTTACATTGACTTCTTAACATTTTGGTAAATTTGCCTGAAATTTTTTGATTGGTGTGAAATAAATATGTAAGAATGGGTTTATTCTTTATTGTCTATGCAGCAGAAAAGGATCAAACAGTGGGAATAAGTGAAAATGGTGATCCACTAATATCGTCATTGTAACACAAATGCAATTTATGGTTGCAGAAGGACTTAACTATACCTGGACGTGTGTTAATTCCCAAAGCTGAGGGTCTTTCTCGATTAGTAAATACAAGCTCAGCCCTTGAGGTCTCTAACGATATTCGTGAAATTTTTTTAAAAGATCTGATTACATTTTTAAAGCATAATTTCTCTCCCTAAGTGTTATACAGTATTTGCAATAACCAGGATATTTATTTAGATGCGACATTGTTTTTACAGAACTGGATTGATTATAATATTCTTCTCATTAAACAACTTTTTAACAACGATGGTCTAACTTTTACATATGTAGAATTCCTTTCTGGGTTTAAAACTTGACTCCTTGATTGTTATGTTATGGATTCTATTCCTTTAAGCCTAAAACTAATTATTTCAAACTAGGCTGATTTACAAATTTATATATATAAGAAACTCAGACCCCGTTTTGAGTAGTAGCTGTAAAACACAAAAATAAAAGAAAAATAATTCAAAGAGATACTATGAGCCAGTCAGCTGAAACTTGCTGCATGGAGATGGAAACTGCATGGAACAAACTTATTTAATGAAATATGTTGGAGAAAAACTTGGTTATTTGGGAGTTTTCTTATTTGAAATATATCTATCCACACAATTTGGGTGTCAGTAAGTAATATAATGACCTTTTCAGTAGAAAATTAGAATTGGGTGTTTAATTTAAACTGAGTATGTTCCATTGACAGATATGCATATGCACATTCTTTTTATTTGTTGTCTATATAATATAGATCATGATTGATTGAAAGGTTAAGGAAGATGGTTAACAATTTAATATAAAGATTGTAGTTTATAATTCTAAAAAAAATTCGGATTACACTGGATTTATAAATAAAATGTAATCGCTGATGCACACTAGTTAACTACTAGTTAACTAGTTGACATTTAGGCTGTCACTATTTAACTAGTTGACACAAACATGGCTAACTAGTTAACTAGTGGACAGAAATGGCTTACATGTTCATGACAATTCTGGCTGAAATCCTGATATCAGAATAAATGCTCATTTGGCTTGCCATAAACCTGCGCCTCTCGGTTTGCGTGGCTTTAAATGTTTGAAACAACCAACCATAGACTGTATAAAAACACTGACAGCTCAATATCTACCTCAGTAACACTCCCTGATCCAGTTGAGTCACCAATAGGAAAAATCTGCTTTTCTCAAGAACTTGGTAACAGCAATAAGAGAATCCGTAGTTTATTCCAGGAAGATATCGTCTCTCTCCCGTATATAATATCTCATTGGAACCGATATGTTCCAGATATCAAGTGGAAGACAGTCTGGATGATCCCCCAGAAATATTTGATTGTAAATAAGGTGAAAGAAGTCTCATTTAAACTTCTACATAAATGTTATCCAGCCAGTCATTACATGGTAAAATTTAAAAGGGACATAAATACTAATTGTACTTTCTGTGGGGATCATCCAGAAACTGTGACGCATCTTTTTTGGTGCTGTTCTTATACACAAAGATTCTGGAAGGAATTTAGCAGGTTTGTTACTGTCCATATTTTAAGGGAGTTTTCTTTACGATGGGAAAATGTTTTATTCTGTTTCCCCATGAAGAATGATAAATGTTTTTTTATGATAAATCTGTTAATACTCTTAGCTAAATTCTTTATTCACAAATGTAAGTTTACCAACAAAACACCATATTTCTGTCATTTTTTTAAGGATGTGGAATTGTACATAAAATCAATATCAGAATCCACCAACAAAAAGGCTCTCAAAACAATATATATATGTGAATTTTTGCGTGTATTCTTATAACTGTTACTTTTTTCTTTTACCCCTGGCTTTGTGTGTTCATATTCTGTTGTTTTGTATACTTCATTCGTTTCTATGTTGTATACTCATTGTTTGTTAAATAAAGTTTATTAAAAAAAAGCAAAAAAAAAAAAAAAAGACTGTACATACGGAAACAACGTGTGAAGCGGTCACGTGGGTGGAAGGGTGAATCGAAGCATCGGCTGTGTCTCAATTCAGGGTCTGCATCCTTCGAAGGACCCAGCCCACCCGGCCGACGTGGGCTGCGTCCTCCGTCGGCCGGGTAGACCGGATGTTAACGGCTGTGAATTTGGACAGGCCTAGCCTTCATGAACTCCCTCGGCGAACGTTCCGTCGCCTAGCAACCGTGGAACCGCTGGGCAGAAGGAACCTTAAACGATGGAGCTCGACGTTTTATTTAGCTTTTTAACCCCCAGAAACCCAAATTTAGAAAACAACTGCAAAATATTTTTAACCTTTCACATGTTGTTCTAGGAGGCCAGATAAACGGGCCTATTTACACATTTTAACAGCCAATAGTGTTGCAGAACTGAATAGGACCTATTAGCAATGTAAATGTGGTTTTAAAAAGAAAAAAAATGGGGAAGGTTTATTTTTGTAGACTTAAATCTGATGTTGTGATACTACAACCGTGGGTCTCTGGGGGTTAATCATTTCCTTGACTGTTGGAGAGCTAATTCAGAGAAAATACTTTAGACTAGCTGAGCCTGAGCAAAGATGTGATAATAGTTTTTAATACTTTCTAAGGGTCTTAATTTGACCAAAACCGATTTATCACCTTTTAAAACTTTTTAAGACCCAGCGGATACCCTCTAGTAAACAATTCTCATTTGTAAACAAAAATAAAATTCAAGAGTTTAATGCAGAACTGATTTTATTTAGATATTTCTTTTACATGTACATGTTTAATCTTCATTAACCATTTTTTTCTAGCAAAGTAAAAAGCTGTCAAAGTTCTTCCTTCTCTCCTGTGCTCTCTGCTGCTCTGCAGCCTCATGTCCTCCCAGATCAGCTCCAGAAGCTCATCGCTGGCACCTTCCCCTGGATGCCCATTTTCTCCAGAATAGTCTTAACAAACATGTAAGAAAAGAAACAGGAAGAGAAAAGAGGACAACGGGTTATTCCTTTCATGTTTTCGCAGAAAAAAAATATACTCAAACGAGTTTTTAAAATATGAGATGTTATTGTACCTCCATGCCACAGCCGCCGAATACTTTGCTCCGGTGATCATGTGGTCCATCTCCGCCCTAAGCTTAATAAATTCCCTGGTTTTCTCTTTTGGTCCTAAAATACAAACTTCTATTAAAATCAGGGGGAAACGTAGTGGGAGAAGTACGACACCGAGCGCGGCCGAACATACGAGCCGAGACCGCAATACAAGCACTTTTACTGTAACATTTCTAACTAAAATAACGTTCATGTATCACAAAAAGTCCTTAAACTGACAGTTTTCAAGTTTATACTTACAGGCTGTGTCTCAATTCAGGGTCTGCATCCTACCTCGGCCGGATTCGTCGGCCGGTTACGTCACAGCGCCGCGACTCGGCCTGTCCCAATTCGAAGACTCCTTCAAATGTGGTCGACGAATGCGGCCTTCTTTTCGCCTGAATGAAGGATGGGTCGGGTGTATCCTTCAATAGGTAGCATTTCCCAAGATGCCTTGCGGGCCGGCCGGCAGAAAAACTTAAAAACAATGGCGGACAGTGAAGCGGGAGCTGTCGGAGAGGATTGCGCTTATAAATGTAAGTATAAACTTGAAAACTGTCAGTTTAAGGACTTTTTGTGATACATGAACGTTATTTTAGTTAGAAATGTTACAGTAAAAGTGCTTGTATTGCGGTCTCGGCTCGTATGTTCGGCCGCGCTCGGTGTCGTACTTCTCCCGCTACGTTTCCCCCTGATTTTAATAGAAGTTTGTATTTTAGGACCAAAAGAGAAAACCAGGGAATTTATTAAGCTTAGGGCGGAGATGGACCACATGATCACCGGAGCAAAGTATTCGGCGGCTGTGGCATGGAGGTACAATAACATCTCATATTTTAAAAACTCGTTTGAGTATATTTTTTTCTGCGAAAACATGAAAGGAATAACCCGTTGTCCTCTTTTCTCTTCCTGTTTCTTTTCTTACATGTTTGTTAAGACTATTCTGGAGAAAATGGGCATCCAGGGGAAGGTGCCAGCGATGAGCTTCTGGAGCTGATCTGGGAGGACATGAGGCTGCAGAGCAGCAGAGGGCACAGGAGAGAAGGAAGAACTTTGACAGCTTTTTACTTTGCTAGAAAAAAATGGTTAATGAAGATTAAACATGTACATGTAAAAGAAATATCTAAATAAAATCAGTTCTGCATTAAACTCTTCAATTTTATTTTTGTTTACAAATGAGAATTGTTTACTAGAGGGTATCCGCTGGGTCTTGAAAAGTCTTAAAAGGTGATAAATCGGTTTTGGTCAAAGTAAGACCCTTAGAAAGTATTAAAAACTATTATCACATCTTTGCTCAGGCTCAGCTAGTCTAAAGTATTTTCTCTGAATTAGCTCTCCAACAGTCAAGGAAATGATTAACCCCCAGAGACCCACGGTTGTAGTATTACAACATCAGATTTAAGTCTACAAAAATAAACCTTCCCCATTTTTTTTCTTTTTAAAACCACATTTACATTGCTAATAGGTCCTATTCAGTTCTGCAACACTATTGGCTGTTAAAATGTGTAAATAGGCCCGTTTATTTGGCCTCCTAGAACAACATGTGAAAGGTTAAAAAATATTTTGCAGTTGTTTTCTAAATTTGGGTTTCTGGGGGTTAAAAAGCTAAATAAAACGTCGAGCTCCATCGTTTAAGGTTCCTTCTGCCTTCTGCCCAGCGGTTCCACGGTTGCTAGGCGACGGAACGTTCGCCGAGGGAGTTCATGAAGGCTAGGCCTGTCCAAATTCACAGCCGTTAACATCCGGTCTACCCGGCCGACGGAGGACGCAGCCCACGTCGGCCGGGTGGGCTGGGTCCTTCGAAGGATGCAGACCCTGAATTGAGACACAGCCACATTTATATGCGCAATCCTCTCCGACAGCTCCCGCTTCACTGTCCGCCATTGTTTTTAAGTTTTTCTGCCGGCCGGCCCGCAAGGCATCTTGGGAAATGCTACCTATTGAAGGATACACCCGACCCATCCTTCATTCAGGCGAAAAGAAGGCCGCATTCGTCGACCGCATTTGAAGGAGTCTTCGAATCGGGACAGGCCGAGTCGCGGCGCTGTGACGTAACCGGCCGACGAATCCGGCCGAGGTAGGATGCAGACCCTGAATTGAGACACAGCCACTGTTGCTCATTGGTCACGTGACTTTCAGTAAACAACTCAAGCTCCGTGCTTTGCTCTGCGGTGGTTCGTTTTGGTGATACAAGCTTCGAATCCTGCGTGTCACAGGTAACATCACTAGCAGCTGCGCATATGTGTGTTGGAAAGTTGTGAAGATTTGTCTTTTCATTTTTGTTTTACCAACGTTGGGCCCATTTATTCATCATTGGTGAGTATTGAGTGGTTAATGAACATTGTCTAATGTTTGCCAACATGCTAGTAGAATATACTTTTTTTGTCCTGGCTTCCTCCGCCTCAGAAGGTAGCGGTGAGGGGCTGGGATCCATGACTTTTTTAACACGGACCCTCTTCCCCGTTGACAGCTCCTCTTCGATGTCCTCTTTGGTGTCTGGAATATAAACAGCACTTCATGTAAGTATTTGACTGCATCGGCTATACTGTACATAATTTTATGTAGTTGTTTCATTATTCACTCTGTTCTTAAGGAAAGCTAACTTAGCAGCGCTACACTACCGTAACTAGCTAAAAGCTAATAGCACACTAGCTAGCTCGACTAGAGCGGTAGACAGAGATTTCAGCCAGTCAAGTTAACTACACATCCTAGGTCGACCTTATTAATAAGTAAAACTGTTTGTGGGATCGTGACTTACCCTTCAGCATTAATATTTGAGCTTTGAAAAAACTGTCTTGCCAGCGAACCCAGTAAATTTTGCTGGTATCCTTCTGGCTGTCAAAATCTTTGATAAAGGTTGTTGGAACGATTTCTTTACAGCCGTCGTCTATATACCTAACATAAGCAAACATTTTTTAAGGCAAACAAAATTAGTTTCCTAAATTCGAATTAGTTAAACATAACTGTTGTCTAAAAAGAAATAAGGTCTAAAATATTTTAGTTTTTAAATCGTGACGCCGCAACTTAATTTGCTCTTGATCTTGGTCCTAATGCTAATGTTGAGAAACGCCCCTCCTGCTAGCTTTGACTTCAACGGCGGGAAGCGCGTGAGCACTGAGCAGAGGATGCTGTAGTTCCCAGTTCCCCCTCTCAATTCATAGTGGGGATTTGATTACAACCAATTATTTTTTATTTTAAGGGAGAATAAGTGACCCTTGACTCATTAAATGTTAATAGCTAATTGCAGAAACTATATCTGAAATATTTCTTAAATGTAAACATTGAAATTTTTTGAAACTACAATCCATCTAGAAAAAAAAAGTGATTTATTATTACTTATTATTCACCAGAGGTGGGTAGGGACTTGTTACATTCACTCCGCCAATTTCCTTTAGTTACTTTATGGGGGAAAAAATACTTTTTACGGGTAGTTTTACTTTATCATTTCTACTCGAATAAAATGTTGCATATTCATTTAATTCAATTTTATAATTAAATAATTTTAATAAAATAAATTAATTAAATAAAAGAAACTAATAAAATTAAATAATTAGTAAATTTTTATTTAATTTAAATTTAATTTAATTATTTCATTTAATTGAGTACTTTAAAATTAAATTTAAGATTTAAATAATTTATTCAAAGTGTTTAGTAGTTCACAATTACTCTTATTTGACTAACATTTCTGAATACTGTAACCAACGAGTAACTTCAGTGAATACAAAAAAACATTAACTAAAAATGCAGAAAACAAACATCTACAGTTCTTGTTAAAGGGAGATGTTTGCACAGAATTTTGTTCTTCTAATGTAATTTTCTAGCTATTGTTTCCACCACATGATGACCATTCATGATGAAAGACTCGCCTGATATGAGTACAATTTATTTTAAAATAAACCATGTATAGCTGCCATTATTCTAGTTATAAAATCTCTCAGATTGGTGATTTGCTCAAAGGTGATAATGACTTGACCTGGACTGGAAGATTCTTTTAGGGACTTGGACTCACACTTGCCCAGTAGGGTCCAGTGACTTGACTTGGATTAATCCTATGAGACTTGGACTTGCACACTAACCCCGGCTTTCCACAGGAGCCGTCAGCAGCACGTTACTGCAGCAGCACGTCATAGCTGCTGGTAGGAACCGTGTGGTCAACAGAACCTTTTCCACCGGAGCCGTCAGCAGCGCGAGTCGGCCGCGTCTCAGGAGCAGCATGTCGCGGCCCTTACGCGCCGGTTCTATTTTCTACGCGCGACGCCTCTGAAACGGGTCAAGTTCAACATTTTTGGGGAAGGAAAGACAGGAAATCGGACGCGGAAATGGAGAGAAGCTCCCGAGATTTTCAGAATAAAGAACGTACTGCCTTCCGGTTGCTTTACTTTAAAAAGGTTACTAACTGTGCGTCCCCGTGAGAAGTTATCACCTAGCTAGCGGTCTCCTTTGTTTTTCAGGTCCGTATTGGAGATTATAAAACGGACAGAACATAAAACACAAACCATGTTGTAGTTTTCTCCTGCTTGTTGTTGTGTTTACTGACGAAGTCACTCGTGTGACTTCGTGCTCGGTCGGTGACAGCTGCTCCCCTGCTGCTTCGCGTCTCGTGGGAAGGGCCAAGCAGCAGCTACGCGAGCAAGACATGCTGCTGCAGTAACGTGCTGCTGACGACTCCCGTGGAAACCCGGGGTGAGGCAGGGGTCGGCAACTCGCGGCTCTGGTGCCGCATGCGGCTCTTTCATCCGTCTGATGCGGCTCTCTGCTTGTAAACTAACTAATGAATAGTTAAAGATTGTCTGCGTAAACCTGAACAGGTCAACTGTTTGTGCATAATCAAATAAGTCTATAGGCGCTTTCTGAGCTGAAGAGGATATGAGATTCTGGACTGTTCCTCAGACAGGCTCATGGATGTTCCTGCTATTCAGCCAAAGATTCATAATCGGGACATTTTTTAAGTCTCTGAGAGACCGGGTTTAGAAAACACTGAACCTTCCTGCATGGTTCTGGTTCTGCGATGTGCTCCAAGCCCCCGATCTACACATCTTCAGCTTGCTGTCCACCATACGCATGCGCTGACAGCGAGCTGCGCTGAGCTCAGTGTCCATCTCAGATGTTCTGATGGGAATCCTTTCCTGACTGATGTAGCTGCCTCCACGATGTGCATAACGATTAAAATGTCAGCGCATCTGCAGGTTTGAGATGTCTCCATCAAAATAAACAGTCAAACACGGGAAATATCCGGTCATTTAACTGTTTTACCTTCTTGTGAAAATTGTTGCAAACAGAAACATTAAACCGGATGAACACCAGAGCCACGCACACTGCGCCGTTACCTCCGTCAGTGTAAATGAGGGAAAAAACTACCTGATTGGATCCTTTTCAACAATGATTAATGCAAAGTTTAGTTCAGTACAATGTTTGATTACAACAGTCCAACGAGACAGAGCAGTTATGTGTGACGCCTCAAGAAGCGTTGTAACGGTTTTCAGGTTTTGCTTTATTGACTAAATAGATGAATGTGGACGTTGGGCTCCAGTCAGGTCTCCCTCCTGACACATGGGATAAAATAACAAAAAAAATGAAATGAATGGAGGTAATAGTCCAGAGGAAAATCAGGTTTGAGCAATTTCACAGATGCAGTTTATTTAGCTGAATTGTCCATAATGGAGGAGCGGTGCTTGCAGGTGAGTGCAGAATTTTACCCTTGTGTTGGAAAAGTTGACAGGGGTCGTTTAACAAATGAGAGTGATGAGAAGTTTGAAACACACGTTCTCAGTTTTAGTAGATCGTTTGCTTGACGTAAGGATCTCTTCAATGGGCAATCCGATTAAGCAATCCCCATCAGTGGTCAAGTTGCGATGAATATGGTGCGTCCAGGTGATGACATCATCAAATAGCGAACTTAGAAACTTGGTTGTTGAGCGTTTCTTCCATCTTCCAGATCTGTCTCAATCCTTGAGGGATTAACGGCCTCTTTGATTAAAAAACAGCCCGTTTACTCGGTAGAAATCACGGTGCGCCTGTGTTCACACCACTCTGTTCACAGGTGGAGAGAGAGAGTCCGTGGAGCTTGAAGGCACTTTCTATTTTTTCCTGTTTAGGGTGCGGCAGCCAGCTGCGCACAGGTGCAGCGGATTTATAATCAAGAAGAAAGGTGAGAGGAGCGGTGGAGAGCTTAGCTCTATGTTGTCATGACAATGTCAGATCGTTACAGTGTCACCTGCTCAGCTATTAAAACCACTAGAAGGGTGAAAAATATCAAAATATTGTAGCGCAGACGGGCTACAATATTCTGGATCAATTTGAAACAAACTGTTTTATTAATAATCTTCTGTTGAAAGATAACTTTGAGGTACATGAGCGACCGGTACTGGCTGCTGTCACCTGTTGTGATCTGTTAAAGCAGCGCTCTGCTGTCTGAGGGTAGGCCCCGCCCACAACGCCGCGGCTGCTGCGGTGTTTTCTTTACACCAGATGCTGCTGAGATGTTCACACTCAAACAGACTTTGTGTTAATGAGTCATGCTGGTCTAACATGTTGTTCTAGCTAGGGCTGGGGGTAAACGATTATTTTTAAAACGATTATTCTGACGATTATTTTATCGAATAGTCGACTATTCTAATGACTATTTATACAATTAATCTAATGATTATTTTTCTATTGCACAGTTAATAAAAACCAAAAAATCTCTAATAAATTCCTCAAAAAAATTGATTAATTGTTACTGTAAGAGAATAAACACTACAGGCCTCCCATTTTGTATAACACTGCTTTTATTGTGTTGGTTGGTTATGTTCTGGTGACGTGTAGAACTTGGGAGTGCAGGCTGCTGCCTGAGAGGTGGTTGGAGACGGAGTGTCTCCATGCTGCTTCGTCTTGGTCACTTATGTGTGTGAGGCGAGTGGTGTTACGACTCTTCCTGGGGAGTTTGGCTCGTGTGCAAAAAGGAAGGGACAATAATATGGGATTTAAAAGTTAAAATGATGATCGGGTTTATTTACAACTACAAAAAACCAAATCTTTCCATCCACAGGTTGGGAGTAATAAAACTAATTCTGCCTGTGGGGAATTAAAACAAAAGTACAGATAACTAGGGATGTCCCACTGTGCAAAGATTACTGGGTTTTGGACCAAAATAAGAATCTCCAAAGGTCCAAACTCTAAACTGGGCGGTTAAACCAACCTCAAGGTGATATTTTAAACTAAACCGAAAACCCAAAACACTCTAAATGTAACAAAAGGGAGATTTTATTACATTTAGACATTTATTAATTTGTACCACAAATTATTATTTTTTATATGTGTTCAACATGTTTAAATATCGCTTGTTTAATTAACCAACATTTCTAGTGTACAGCGCCTTGTTTGGTTGTAATGCCTTGTGAATGCGCTTTATAAATAAAATTGGATTGGATTGGATTGTAAAAAGATGAACTCTAAACCAAAACGTAATAGCTTATCCAAACGCAAGAAGCTGTTAGCGAAAATGCTAACAGTAGCTTTACCAACGTCAAGTTACCAAGTTTAAATAAACCAAAAACACCCAGCAGCAAACAGACCAGCTCGGAGGAGAGACTGCTACCACCAAAACAGCTCTCCTAATGTCTGAAAGAAGCTCCTTTATGAAGGGAGAAACGCTCCCGGTGATTTTCTACATCTGCTATAGAGACGGAGCAGCGCATCTGACCCCGGAAGTTGTTGTCCGTTGCCGGGAAACGAAGGCGGGCAAAACAGGAAAGGAACCTAGTAGCGGATGGACGTTGTTCCGGGTCTTCGGTATTTGGCTGAGATGTTAGTGAAGGCGGAGAAGAGGGCGAACTAGAGGAAAAACAGGCAGATTCCTCCTCTATTTACAAACTCCTGGGGATGCAACAAGTGGGCGCGGTGCGTCGACTACCGGATCTGACGTCGACGAATTTTTAGAATCGAGCCGTCGACGTCATCGAAGCTTCGCTACAGCCCTAGTTCTAGCGGTCTAAAAGGTCTTAAATGTAACTTTCTGAAACCTACAGTAAGCCTTTGTAATGCAGTAATGAAATTAGACTTTGTTGTCTTTAACAGATCTATCACATTACCTTTGCTGATGTTTGAAGATGCTAAATGGGGAATCTGGTTTTGTAAACATTTACAGACTTCTCCCTTGAGCCGTGAAAGCTGTGACTTGTGGTCCATATTCTTTAGATGTTGAGGTGAGGGTTACATGTATTCTTAAACTGATGGAGACATGATGCACCACGTCTTCATCTGGTCATATGATTTCCCGGGATGTCCAGATGACACGATCAGCCTTGTAAGTTCTTTTACCAAACCTCACGTGAGAGTTTGTGATGTCTACAAACTGAATGTACAAAGAAATGAACTAAAAATCGTTTCAATAATCTCTTGTCTCCAGACCTTGCCCTACACTGAATGTGGCAGAGAAGACGCTGCAGATGTTGAGGTGATTGACTAATATGTGAGGCAAGATAACATTTCTGTTTCTGACTGTGTTTGTGCCTTCTCTACCTTCTCTTCAGACCATGTCTCCATGTGGCTGTCTGGAGTCTGGTTCAGATGATTCTTACTGTGTTTGTACCTTCTCTACCTTCTCTTCAGACCATGTCTCCATGTGGCTGTCTGGAGTCTGGTTCAGATGATTCTTACTGTGTTTGTGCCTTCTCTATAGGGCTGCAACAAACGATTATTTGGATAATCGATTAATCGGATGGGGTCTCGACACGATTAATCGATTAATCGGATTACATGGGGACATTTTAAAAAACTGCTAGGGAAATGTTATTTCTCTCCTTCCTTCACTTTATTTAACACAACATTATTGGAAAACAGTTCAATAGCAGAAAAACAACATGCCATCACCTAAATTGTCTTATAAGGTGTATAGACAGAGACCCTAAGCTACATCTATCTGTGACCTAAAATGCTTGGTCCAAGTTAAACAGCTTAAGGGCAATTCTCATCTGTTTTGTTTGATCTCATCTGTTGACATTTATTTTAAATGTAATTAAACATAGGCTGTGAATTAATCAAAATTGATCACTATTTCCAAAACTGACTGAAAAAATACCAAATAAAACAAAAGTAAATGAATGCCATCCTCCTTGTGATGATGCCCTGGGCAACTGCCATAAAGTCACATCAAGAAATGCTGCTGATCATTCCAATGATCCCAAATAGACTCACATTAGGCCACATGAAAGCAACTGAACCCAAAAATATATTAACCAGTATATAACTGCACTCTCACACAACACGCCTGCAGCAACAGTTAGGACTCCTCCCTCCCTTTTAAAAGCGTTTTTGCTATTAGACAGCAACATGGAGACATGGTCTGAATTTATTATTATCATGTAAGGGCTCCTCTTTACCAGCTTTGCTCTATTCCTCTTTACCCGTAAAACCCTCTTTGTATACTGATAATCCGGTGGTTCTTAACACACTCAAAATCTGGTTTCAGTTTAGACGACACAATAATTTTGTAATGCCATCCTCTTCGGGTCCTCTAACCAACAATCATTTGTTTCCCCCTTCACTTTTGGACACGACATTCTCAGTGTGGTGTGACAAGGGTATAGGACAGTTTAAACATTTATATGTGGATGGTGTGTTCGATAGTTTTCCCAGTTTGTCTTCTCGTTATAATCTCCCTATTACCCATTTGTTTCGCTATTTTCAAATTCGAAATTTTGTTGCCAAGTGTTTCCCGAATTTCCCCTTTTTACCTCCAGAACAGCGGTGGGAAACTATGTTAAATTTTATTCCTCATCACAGAGGAACCATTTCGAAACTTTATGATGCTATTCTGTCTCTTAGTAACCACTCTAAGGTTAAGCTTAGGGATATATGGGAAGGAGAACTAGGAATTGGAATACATGAGGAGTCTTGGGAACAGGCTATAGCAAGGGTACGATCTTCCACCTCCTGCGCTCGTCTTGGACTTATCCAATTTAAGGTCATTCATAGGGTGCATTTCTCTAAGTCTAGACTTTCTGAACTGTATCCGGAAGTGGAAAATAAATGTGATAAATGCCAGGGTTCTCCTTGTCACCTTAGCCACATGTTTTTTTTGTGTCCTGAGTTACAACGTTTCTGGACAGGGTATTTTGCTATTATGTCAACTGTTCTTGGGGTAACTCTTCATCCTTGTCCTCTGATTGCGGTATTCGGGATTCCTGACCGCTCACTTATACTGGACTCCACACAAAAGGATATCATTGCCTTCACATCCTTATTAGCGAGACGTTTGATATTGTTACATTGGAAGTCTGCTAAGTGTCCTACTGTTTCCCAGTGGCTTAAAGATGTCATGTTTTTTTTAAACTTGAAAAAATTAAATATACGCTGAGAGGGTGCACGGCCAGTTTTTTTCATAAGTGGCAACCCTTTATCTCTTATTTTACTAGTTTAGAGGTATTACCTGTTTAATTGTACTTCTGTTATTGTTCTATTCCGGTAATATGTTTGACGGTTGTGTTGATCTACGGGGGGGGGGGGGGGGGGGGGGGGCTTTTTTTTTTTTTTTTGGTATGGTTTTTTTGTCTAATTGTCTTGTCCCCCCCCTTTTTTTGTTGTTGTTCTGTCTGATTGTTGTTATTTACCTAGAAAAAATGAAGAATGGTTAATTGTATTTTGGTAATTGCAAGTACTGTTGTTTTCTTCTTTCAATAAAAATATAATAATAAAAAAAAAAAGCGTTTTTGCTTCTGAGGACATTGTGGTTGTAAAACCACATGCTAGTAGTCTGGCCCCGGTGTGATCAACCAGTTTCTGCGGGAATGTGACGGCGGAACCAGGGCCAGATTAACACTTTGTTGTACCCTGGGCAACAATATTCAAGGGCTCCATCATCACGACCCAAGGATCACCATAATGTGGTCACATACAGAATATTTTACTGTAATATGCAGTAAATGTACTCAATACTTGAATGCCTGACAACACGTAACCCGCCCAGAGTAACCTTTGACCCACCTCGTGTGGACTGACCAATGAGGAGAGGGTCTTAACTTGAGGCCCTCTCTTCATTGGTCAGTCTGCATGAGACTGACTCTCAACTGACGTTCAGTCGTAGGCAGCGAAGCGTCTCTGTGCAGCGCAAAAGCCCGGGTGGACAGTTTGTTTAATGTAGGGTGACCATATTTCCATTTCCAAACAAGAGGACAGGGGATCTGTGCCTATGACGTCACTCTATGGCAACGCCACACAAACCATGTTGGGACCCATTTTTTGTAAGAACTAAATTAATATCAGATTCTGCCAATAAAAGGGCTCTAAAACAATTCATATGTAAATATTTTGCATATTTAATGCAAAATCTAATTTTTCTGCTTTAGTGCTGCAACAAGGTTTTATTAATAATAAATTATTATACCTTTTGTTTTACTACAGCATCGGTAAGCTTCCTGTGCACAGATTATTAAGGATGCTTGTTTCAGCTGTGAGATTAGACGATAGGATCAATGAAAAAATAAGTTGTCACACACTCCATGGAAACTTTCTGAGAATCCACAAATAGTGGCTTTCAAATGGTTTTGTTACTTTTTGCAAGTTTATAAAAGCAGCAGATGAGACAGCATGTCTGATAATTTAGTTTTTCATCTGATAATATTAGAGCATGTCAGTAATGTCTGAGGGGCTTTTATAAACACCGTATAACTAACACTACTGGAGAGGGTATGGATTACACAGAGGCTTCTGGGGAGCCCAGTTATTTGGGGGGGGGGGGGGGGGCATTTTGCCTTGGCCCCCAAAATGTCTTGAAACGGCCCTGGGTGTGTGACTGAGTTTTGAAGGTGATCTGAATTGTATCAGATGTATAAATATGACATGTGTGTAACTTATTGTTTTTTACTGGTAAAAACGTGTAGTGGAGATAAATCTACCTACATTTTACTTTTCAACACTTTGTTTTGTTTTCTTGTTTTTATTGAACTATTTTCCTGTCCTGTCTGTCTCTCATCTTCCTGCATCTCCTCTAAACTCTCCAGAAAATCTGTTGCCTGGATTCTTACCTTTTCACCTCATCAGTTACTTTTGAGCAGATCAAAGGGATCTCCTGACCGAAAAGCGCAGAGCGCGTTTTCGATGCTGCGTCAGTGAGGTGACATCACCACAGCACAGGTGATGAGCTCCGCAGTAGCAGAGCGCTTCAGGCACAAATAAGACAGAAAATAGAGAACATGTGCGGACATGAACGATCGTGTGCTAATTATAGTTTTTTGGTTGCGCCACTTTGAGAATGGACCGTGCGCTGGAAGCAGCTGCCTGGATCGCTGTGCGACAATGCGGAACCGGTTCGCAGCAGCGCAAGTCTGCCGGCTCTCCCTCACGCTGATCTGCGGCTCTCCCTCGCGCTGATCTGCCGGTACCGGCTCTCCCTCACGCTGATCTGCGGCTCTCCCTCGCGCTGATCTGCCGGTACCGGCTCTCCCTCGCACTGATCAGACTTGCTCTGGTCTGCGCGCAACGGCGGGCGGGAAGGCGGGTCGCTTTTGGAAGAGTTGTGCGACACAACGAATCGATGACGCAATTCGTTGCCAACGCTTTTAGTAATCGATTTTCATCGAATTTATCGATTCGTTGTTGCAGCCCTACTTCTCTACCTTCTCTTCAGACCATGTCTCCATGTGGCTGTCTGGAGTCTGGTTCAGATGATTCTTACTGTGTTTGTACCTTCTCTACCTCCTCTTCAGACCATGTCTCCATGTGGCTGTCTGGAGTCTGGTTCAGACAAGTGGTGCTCGCTGCAGAACCACAAAGGCGGAGCTGCACCAGAGTCAGCCCCGCCCATTCCAGAATCAGCCCCGCCCATTCTATCGGAGTCAGTCCAATTCCTTCCAGTTGTCAGACTTTATAGCATTCTGGAACCAGAGAGGGTGTTATAGCTAAAAAATGCAAGATTGAGGAGGGAGTTGAGAAGTTAATTGAACAGTTTTTGTAAAGGTTCCATATAATTAAAAATCTAACTTTTGGAACTTTTAATCATGTTATATTGTCATTTCCTCATAAGAAACACGCCAAAGCCATTTTTGGCCTCATTCATGCATTTTCTTCCCATCTCAGCTTCAATTTGGTCTCCTCCCCCGAAGCGGGTCTGGTCTTGGTTCTCAAATCTGGATATTCTGTGAATTTTCTGACAAATTATTTCTGAAATGACTTCTACTGAGACACCGCCAGAAAAATCATACATCCCATCTACAAAGACACACCAAATAACATAATAAAATGTAACGCCATCTAATTTTTATCAGAGGTGGTGGTGTAGTGGTGATGGTGTTGGGTTGACATGCAGTTTTGCGCAGGTTCACCTCCCAGCAGTGGAAATATTCTATAATCTCTTTTCCTCATTTCTAGCTACACTTGCCAGTACTATGTTTACAACAATTTATTGGTATGCCGTTTAACATATAATGACTAATGTGTTTTTTTATTTATTCATTCGTTTATTTAGCCAGTGTGAGTCCATCTGTGAGCAGAGTTTCAACTAAAATGCTGTTTAGGAACGACCAAATTCAAAGAACTTGTAGAGACATAAATATTTTGCTGAAAATGAACATTACAACTAAAATATGAACAAATTAAATGTTTCAGCTGGCTGAATAGATTGTTGCCGACCCCACCGAGAATCGAACCAGCATCAGCTGAGGGGAAAGCAAAATGTAAGTCAGACGATCTTGCCACTGGACTACCAGAACCCACAGGGAGGGGGTACATGCTGTTGTACAGGACTTTTGTTAGAGCGGCTGTGGACATATTCGCTACGAGAAACCTTTTTATTTCGGGATATATTCAGACTTTGTCATGTAGCAAGTTATATTTATCTTGTTTAATTGGAGCACAGAACATAGCATTAACGACTGTAAACTAGTAACAGCCGTAATTCATGTGGGTCAGGTCAGTTTGCGATAAAGTTGAAAACAAAAACGGAAGTCAGTGGGCTAGGCTGAGTTTGCGTGAATGGGCGGGGCTGACTCTGGTGCAGCTCCACCTTTGTAGTTCTGCAGCGAGCACCCTCTCGGTTCAGATGATTCTTACTGTGTTTGTGCCTTCTCTACCTTCTCTTCAGACCATGTCTCCATGTGGCTGTCTGGAGTCTGGTTCAACCTGGTAAGCTTTTAACCAAATCACACAACAATACCAGCAATTCTTATTCTTATACACAAGCAATGGTTTTCTATTATCTTTGCTGTTTATTATGAGTGTTAATCAGCAGTCCACTGAAGGGAGGCATTGTAGTGAGTTAATAAAAAATAAACTACAAGAAACATTAAACAAAACAGAAGGCTCGGCATGAAGTTGGCAAAAACAGAACGAGCGACACACTGAACAGATCAGAGGATCCGGTAATTAACTGAAAAAGCGTAATAACAGCACGTGTATCTGATGATAATGATCAAGCAGCACAGGTGAGTGACATTTCTGGGCAAGTAAAACCAAATAGAGAAAAAGTATTGTAAATGCTGGACTAAGAAGAGGGAGAGCATCTGCAATGGTCCAAGAGAATCCAGTATAAAGACACCTAAAGCAGGAAAAAGAGAGCTAACGTGCCTTCAGAACCACAAACAGGACATTAAGGGCTAACATACGGCCTAGTGAACACTAGTAAAGCTATATAGATCAAACCAAAATGAACCCATCAAACTAGGGAAAAAGAAACTAATTAATACTGCAGAGTAAATTAGGGCTGATCAATAAAAGAGGAAACTAATATGGAAATCAGCATCAAAGACTAGAAAAAACCGTCATTTCTGATGGAAATAACCGAAGAAAAACTAAATAACAAGAATTCATTGTGAATCAAGGGGTGTGCCGATTAATTAACAAATGATTAATCATGTTAAGCGTACCAAATTGTTTACAATTCAGAAATGTTTAAAATCTAGCATTTCAGTGGTGAAAGGAGCGTCTCTGTTGTGGTTCACGTTGGCAGCAGCGTCCAGTTTACCCGGACTTGCTGACTCTTTCTGCACCGTTGGAGCGGGGGTGCGTAGACGTACTAACACGGTGGTTCTGAGACATCGGACTGTATGTTTCTAGGTGTTGTTTGGTATATGTGGTGCTTTGGGTGCGCCCCATCGGGGGGTGGTTTACAAGGACTCCCATCATCTGTCAGCAGTAGAGTTACAGCTGCATGTCTCCCAGGAACTTTTAGTTGTGATTAATGTAAAAGGATTTAAATTCCACCTAGGTCATTCGTAATATTACCCGTTATTGTATGTTGCCAAGCACAAGTAATCCTGTCATGTTAAGCTAACTTTGCGATGTAGCTCCATCGACTAACAGAGGATTGTGTTCATGTGTTCATCAGCATGAAGTTGTTGAAGTTATGGAAGCAAACATGGCTGGAATCAGTTTAACCTGTAATCTTCTTCTTCTCTAAGTGTGTGTGTGCTGCTGTGGGATTAATACATCTATTCTGTTCTATTCAATACATTTTTATCCGCCTGTAGGGAAAAATACATGTGAGGATTTTGTACCTTTCCGGGCTTCCGTACAAATAACCTGGTTACGGAGGAGGGGTTCGTCTCCCAAACCAGAAAACACAATCCCAAACTATGCAGGTGTTGATAAAACGCTGGACCAGCATAAACCAGCTAAACCAGCACCAAACCAGCATGGCCCAACGGCCTGCATTTGCTTCGTCACAACTGCTTTGTTTGTTAGTATTCGGTAGCTCTCGCAGTTGAAACCACGCCTAGCATGCTGCATGCTAAAAGCTGTAGCATAGCAAACAGGAAGAGAGAACGGCCGGTGTTAACAATGCGCTGCGGGGCAGGAAACGATATAGCTCGCTCTCATAGGCTAGTTTGTTAGCCAATCTGAGGCTAGCAAATTCCAATAATGAGTATGAACGAGCAGCAGCCGGAGCTGCCTGACGGAACAAGCCGGAACCACCCGAATATTGACCCAGAGCGATCGAATGGTCTGTTAATCAGTATTTCCTAACGTTTTTTAGATGTAAAATGTTTCATATTACTGGTTAATACTGGAGAAATAACCACAAAGTCCTGAAATTAGAATTCAAGTCAGGTTTATCTATAAAGCGCCAAATCACGACAAGAGTCGTCTCAAGGACCTTCACATGATAAACATTCCAGTCCAGGTCAGAATGAAATGGCCTCTTTAATAATAAATAAATAAATAATGAATAAATCGGTTTCCTGATCTCTAAACAAGGTTTGTCCAAACAACCGAGACAATAATTTAGCACCAAGTATAAAATAGATCCGATGCAGTCACCCGATCAGTTGCTTTCATCATTTGTTTTTGCTGGTAGATACTTGCACTAATGTGTGTTTTCTGTCACCCTACAGCCCACAACTTCTTCTGGTGGCTTATCTGGGCTGCAGTCAAGTGACGTCAGCCAGGAGTTTGAGTACGATTCCTCACCTGACAGTGATCCTCAGGTTGATTCAGACATTGAAGACCTTCCAGAGGACGACCCATTGGGACAGATAGACACTGCCATGGATTCTGCACTAGTGTCAGGGGGTACAACAACAAGGGCTGAAGCACTGCTCATGGTAATGAGTCATGCAGCAAGACATAACATAACAGGAACACAACCTGATGATGTGTTAAAGCTTAGAAATGCACTGTTTGGCAAAGAGGTTTTACCCAGATCCAAATATTGGTTCAACAAAGTGTTTAAGAACTCTTCTGACATGGTGGAATTTCACTTCTACTGCAAAACCTGCTAATTATACATCGGCAAACAAGAAGACGTAAAAGAAACAAACAGTGTACAATTTGTAGTGCTCCCATTGAAATGAGCACATTGGACAGTGCAAGCTTTTTCATAAGCGTACCAATTACACCTCAAAGACACTGATGGAAAACATTGAAAACAGCATGAACTACAGATAGCAAAGGCAACAGAATGAACGTGTTATCTCTGACATCTATGATGGTGAAATGTATCAAAACCAGGTGGCGTTCTGTCAAATCCGGCCAGTTTGTCATTTAATTTTAATTCTGATGCTTCACCCGTCTACAAGTCTTCCAAATTTTCAATATGGCCCATCCAGCTGCATTTAAATGAACTCCCTCCCAAACTGAGATTCCAGAATGTAATGCTTGCAGGCCTTTGGTTTGGTGCTCAAGAGCCAGTCATGCCAATTTTTCTAAAACCGTTTGCTGATCAGGCAAAAACACTGGCATCCAATGGTGTCCTGGAGAAAATGTGGAGCTCTGGTGAACAGCAACGTTGTTGGACTCTGTTGTTGTGTGGACTCAAAGGCAAGACCAGCTGTGCAGAACACCACCCGGTTTAATGGGTATTCTGGTTGTGGCTTCTGTTTACACCCTGGGACTCTCGTTGAACAACAGGTGAAGTGTACTGCGACTGCCACAGAGTGCCCTGAGAGAGAGGCTAATAAAGTGATGGCAGATATGGAGCAGGCCGTAGAACAACACCGAAGTGTCAGAGGGGTGAAAGGTCCATCACCACTCATAAACATGCCTTATTTTGACATTGTTTGGGGGTTTGTTCCAGACTGTATGCATGCCGTCTTGCTTGGTGTCATCAGACAGCTGACAGAGCTTCTGTTGAATGGCCGTGATCAACCCTACTGTATCGGCAGTCCAAATACAACGAGGGTGCTAGCAAACAGGATCAAGGAAGTCAAGCCACCACACCTTATTACACGACTTCCCAGACCCATTGCAGAGTTCTGGAAAGCCTCAGAGTGGCGAGCTTGGCTCCTGTTAAACAGTTTGCCAGTCCTGAGTGGGGTGCTTCAGTCACGTTATGGGAAGCGCCTATCCCTGCTGGTGTTTGCAGTATTCCTGCTTTTGAAGGACAATGTCACATTCGAAGAGATCAACAACGCAGATGAGATGCTGTTGGAGTTGGTGGCAAGGTTTCAACTCTTGTATGGAGAAGCATCTATGACATTCAATGTGCACTTGCTAACGCACCCGTCCAAGTGTGTGGAACTGTGGGGGCCGCTCTGGGCACACTCAGCATTTGTATTTGAAAATGCTGATGGTGGTCTGTTGAAACTTTTCACGGAACTAAATGTGTAGCTTTGCAGACTGTAAACAAATTCGTGTTGCATAGAACGGTTCTGCTTTTCAGTACAAGGTTTGCAGTTAGTGAGCAAGTAGAGAACTTCTGTTCGGAGCTCACTCCAGACTAAAGTCCTTCACTAGATATCAACACACGACTGTTGTGGGTTAGGGTTCCTGAGACAACTGAGGAGGAGAACTGTGCCTTCATTTCTGCAGAAAAAGTCCCACCAGAGTGTGGTACAGAAGTTGCTGTACTTCTCCAAAAGTTTCATACACAAGCATCATTCCCTTTACCACAAGGGTCCAGATTTGAGTCACATATTAGACGTCTAAGTAGGGGACCTGCTGTGGGTCTGATTCCAGTAGACCGGTTAGAGCAGAAATGTCTGGTCCTGATGACACTTACGTTTGTGACTTTCCAAACCAACATGAAAGAGACTAGTCTTTGGTTGTGGGTAACCTTTTTCTCTTGTGTGTCACAACTTCTCTTGACCTGTCATCAGTTCTGGCTGATTCAGATTTCTGCCCAGGAGAGTGGACTTTGTGTGCTGTGCCATGTGTCTGAACTGGCTTTTTGTTTTCCTGGTTTACAGTTCGGAGCATTCCTCGCTGTACTGGAGAACACCAGGATGTTGTATTTGTGGAAGGTCCTCCTTCGGAGGGGACAGGGAAACAACACAATATGGGGTTTGATTTGTGCCATAAGTGGGGAGACCAACTTCCTTTTCCGCGCTTGCATAAAATCCACTCATTTGAGCAGTCTCCTCAACCATGCGCATGCTGAAAGTCCACTCCAAGCATGCACCTTCTTCTTCGAGAGAGGGCCAGCTCACGTGTGTGGCCAGCCTGCTGTGGCCGTGCTAGACTTGGTTCTATCTGCACGATGCCTTTTGGAAAGCTGCAGCCTTGAAGTAGAATGTTGCTCCCACAAATCAAGCTGGCTTTCGACAGTTGGTGGTGAAGACAAAGAACTGCATTGACTTCCCTCTGATGGGTTCATTTTAACATCACTGACACATGTACCAAAAATAACCACAACTGTTCTGGACAACTGCAAACTCTAGTGGTCAATGGTCTTGCTCCTAAACCTTTCTTGATGGCTGTAGTACTTTTAGCATGCACAAGATGAAACTTTCATCAATTTCTGTTAAACATTAGAAATGCTTGGTGTCACTCTGAGAAAATGAAGTCTTTATGTAAAGCGCCCCAACTACAAAGAGCATTTCTTTGCCTGTGCACTTTTCTTTTTTAGTGTGCATGCTTTAATTCCATTTCTAGTTCTTTCTAAAACACAGGAAGTTTTTTCTTTACCTGCTGACGTTTCGTTTGTGACTACAAACTTCCTCAGAGCTGACGCTGATGATGGCGTCACTTCCTTCTCCGTTTATCCGCGGGCAGCAGAGGACGTTGTCGCCCTCTGCTGCCCGCTCTCCCCTCTCCAACGATGCAGTCCCATGCGTGGTCCAGCGTGTAAACTCCATCGTCCCTGTTCATGGTCCCACATCCACGTCTCCTTATCTCGATAGCTTCTTTTATCCATCTTTTGTATTTCTGTTGTTCGGTGGTTATGATCCTTGTGTTGTCCCAGTCCATTACATGGTTTTCTCTTGTGCAGTGATCTGTTACGGCTGACTTCTTTATTGTGCTTTCTGCTTCTTCTTTAGCTGCTCTTGTGTGTTTTCCACTTGTTTCTTTCTCACACTCCTTTCTATGTTCTATTGTTCGTGTGTTGAGTTGGCGTCCGGGTTCTCCTACGTATGTTTTATTGCAGAGTTTACATGGGATTTGGTAAACGACTCCACGTTTAAGTCCAGCTTCAACAACAGAAAAAAAAACAAAGCAAAGAACCAAAACCAGTGATAACCCTACCATACATCAGAGGCATAACAGAAAAAATAAGAGCAACAATGAAAAACACAACATAAACACACCAACAAAGCCATACACAACAGTTAGAAACAGACTAGTACACCCAAAAGACAAGATACCAGCTGGACTTAAATGTGGAGTCGTTTACCAAATCCCATGCAAACTCTGCAATAAAACATACGTAGGAGAACCCGGACGCCAACTCAACACACGAACAATAGAACACAGAAAGGAGTGTGAGAAAGAAACAAGTGGAAAACACACAAGAGCAGCAAAACAAGAAGCAGAAAGCACGATAAAGAAGTCAGCCGTAACAGATCACTGCACAAGAGAAAACCATGTAATGGACTGGGACAACACAAGGATCATAACCACCGAACAACAGAAATACAAAAGATGGATAAAAGAAGCTATAGATATAAGGAGACGTGGATGTGGGACCATGAACAGGGACGATGGAGTTTACACGCTGGACCACACATGGGACTGCATCATCGGAGAGGGGAGAGCGGGCAGCAGAGGGCGACAACGTCCTCTGCTGCCCGCGGATAAACGGAGTAGGAAGTGACGCCACCATCAGCGTCAGCTCTGAGGAAGTTTTACAGTCGGCAGACGACACGTCAGCAAGGTAAAGAGAAACCTTTCTGTGTTTTAAAAAGAACCAACAATGGAATTAGAAACCGAACACAGCAAAGATCCAAGCTTTAAGTGTTCGCCTTTTTTAATCTGCTCAAATCTTTAAGTTTTGTTTTGACTTCATGTACACAGTGTTTGTTGATGGATGGAAAAATATTACTATTTCACCTAAAAACTGCAACGTTAAAATGTGAATAAAAGTGACGTAATCTTGATTAGTTGCTAAAGCCACTTTAAATGGCAATAAAAATTCCCTTAAGATTTTAATGTTTGTGATGTTCAACATTTGCTGAAACAATTACAATTTCTGTTTGTTTTATATCATAAATGTAAATAAAGATAATATTGATTATTGTGTAATTATTCATAGATCAATTTTTTATCTTAGAATCTGTTTATTTTTTTACTTATTTTTCCTAATATTAAATGTACTAAAATATGGACGCTCTTGTCTTCAGTGTGGCTTGTGTGTGATGGAGGGATGTTTTTATTAAAGTGCTTTCATAGATTCATCCAAAACATCAAAACTGAAAGTGATTGAAAACTATAGTTTTAGAGTTGTATTCAGAGAGAGAATTAACCATATTACCAGTATCAAGCTAAGCACTTTAAAACACATTCCCCAAAGCAATCTAAACATTACTGGTCTCAATTTTTTGGGCACTAGTGGCAGTTTTTCACACTGCAAGGAAGCAGGAAACCTTGGGAGAGAGGAGGGAGAAATGCGGCTAAAGATATGGGGCTGGAATTCAAACCCTGGATCAACTTTGTCCACCAGCAGACATTGCTGGTGGATAAACGAGCAATGACCAGCAAGGAAGCTGGTTTATGCTGCTGGACAAGCATAAACCAGCAAGGACCAGCACCAAACCAGCATGGACCAGCAAGGAAGCCATGCTGGTCTTTGCTGGTTTTTCCAGCAGGGAACGTAACGTGATTACGTAATTCCGTAAGGTTCATGTTCAGCCAATCAAATACTTTGACGTCATCGGCAGTCGACGGACCCCGAGCCGATCTTGTACCGGGTTGGGCTCAATTTTTGAGCCGCAATGTGGGGTCTTGATTGTGACCAATAAGATGCGACTGTTATGGCCCAGGGCTATTTGGGGTTTTCCGCTCTGTGTGTGTGTGTGTGTGTGTGTGTGTGTGTGTGTGTGTGTGTGTGTGTGTGTGTGTGTGTGTGTGTGTGTGTGTGTGTGTGTGTGTGTGGAGATGCAGCACCCGTCTCCCATCTCACTCGATTGCTTCCCAGTTACACTCCCAGCTTTAGTTGCTGCTGATGTGTCTGTGTTTTGATAATCCGTGTTTTGTGTTAGGGTTATGTAAATAAATGTTGTTTTGTTACTTTTACCACAAGAACATGCGTCCTCAACCGTTACGACCCAGGCCCCCTAGACAGCCTGGGTCGTAACGGTGATAATTCCATATAAATATCAACCTGATTGATCTTTGAATGTTTAACCAGAATAATTTAGGATTATTCAGGGACCAGAAACACACTTTGTATTAATTCAGACAGAGTCAATGATATCATCAAAATAAACTTTGTTATCTAGACTAATTATAATACAGGACAAGCTATGAATACTGATGTGTGATTTTTATCAGAACCTTCGTATCTGAGAGAAATTGTGAGTTCTGGGTGTAAAAGAATTTGGTCTGCTATAACTAGAGAGTTGATTATTAATAAAACAACATCAGACACCATCTTGTTGTGTCTACAAACCCTGATGGGAGACCCCGTTGTAGATCCGGAATGTTGAAGTCTGGTGGACCCCAAAGCACCGAAGTCCGTAGAAAAGGCCGGTCTTGGCTTGTCTCCAGGTCACAGCAGGCATGAAGGTTGTTGCGTCTAAGAATGGACTCTTGAGGAGTCATGATGTGTCAGCTTTGCAGTGTGCAAACAGGTTCGACAGCGTGTCAAAGAGATGCTTCAAAAGAGTTTCCTCCGGAGTGTCAGCTGGAAACAAACTTACTCATCCCCACTCAACTGAACTGAACAACTCAGGAAGTGGTCTAAGTTTTATTGATTCATATGTTGTGATTTTCTAACAAATCACAACTTGCCATGTTAAGGAGGTTTTACCAACCAAACCTCAGAAACACTCCTCCTTCAGCATAGCATAGTTTATTTATATAGCACATTTAAAACGCAGCATGGGAGCTGCCCAAAGTGCTGCACAGGCTAAAACAAAACACACCCATTCGAAAGAACTAAAACAGAGGATAAAAATCCAATCAAAAGCAGAGAAAACATGATGAATACTAAGAACACATTAAAACACTAAAACGAGTCACTATCTAAAAGCCAAAGTGTAAAAGTGGGTCTTTAAACGAGATTTCGAAACCGCCAGTGATGGAGCCTGCCGAACTCCAATGGGCAACGAGTTACAAAGCTTTGGGGCAGCATGGACAAATGCTCGTTCACCCCGCGATTTGAATCCCATCCGCGGTGTGCACAGCAGCAGGAGGTCAGCCGACCTCAACGTGCGCGTGGGAACATATGGAGTGAGCAGGTCAGAGAGATAGGGAGGTGCCAGGTCGTTGAGAGCTTCAAATACAGAGGTCAGGAACTTAAACTGCACTCTGAACATGACAGGGAGCCAGTGAAGAGGTGCCAGGACAGGGGTAATATGGCCACGTCGGTGTGTACTCGTCAAGAACCTGGCAGCAGTGTTCTGGACGACCTGCAGCTGATTCAGGGCAGAGACCGGAACACCAACGAGGAGGGCGTTTGCGTAGTCCAGGCGAGAGGTAATGAAGGCATGGATGACTGACTCCAAATGCCTCCGTTTCAGGATTCGTCTGAGGTGAGTCAGGCGGCGAGGCTGATAAAAACAAGACCTCACTACGGAGTTTATCTGTGGGGCCATTGTGAGTCCAGCATCCAGCTTGACCCCAAGACTTGTCACACACTGTTTGGGGTTAAAGGTTAAAAGGTCACAAACAGGGTGAGAGCCATGGTGGTTGCGGGGGTCAAAAACAATAAACTCAGACTTCTTTTCATTCAGTTTTAAGAAGTTGGATGCCAGCCAGCCCTTCACGTCATCTAAACATGCAGCCAATCACGAGCCCGCATTCTTCTCATCCATTTCTACGTATAGCTGACAGTCATCAGCGTAGATGTGGTAGCTCAGGCCATGCTGATTCAGGATGTTGCCCAGAGGCAGAAGGTAGATTGAAAACAGCAA